AGTAATACTAATAGCGGACTATTAAATAATAATAATGGCGTTGAATTAGGAGATATATCATCGAATAATAATAGTAGTAGTAGTAATGCGATAGTATTAATAAATAATAATAATAATAATAATACCGGCAAGCCAAATACTGCCCAAGAGATTGTTTTCATCAGCTGGGGTTTATTTACAAAGAAAATGAAATAGACTTAGTAAAAATAATAAGTAAATCTGTCTAATAAATTGTTTGATAAAAAAGTTTTTAGTCGGAAAAGTTTTTTTTTATCAGTTGACATCACTAATTCCAGTTAAATTATTTTGTTTCAAATGAAAATAGGCAAACTTCATTACTCACAGAACGGTATCTTCGAACAATTTGAGAATTCATTTTAAATACTTAAAATTAGTTTATTTACAAAAAAAAAAAAAAACGAAAATAAATTGTTTGCCTTTAAAAACAACTTTTTAATGCAAAATGGTGTAAAAAAAAAATGAGGGATTATGCCAGATAACCATTAGAGCTAATCAATTGTTTACAACTAAAACTCAAGTTTTTTTGCTCTTATAGAAAAACAAAACGTAGTAGTAGATATAGTACAAGTCATTTAGTCTCGCAAATTTTTATTGGTCGTATAGATCTTTCAGATCCTCCAAAGTGGGAAAGGTAACAACCAAAAAATAAATCGATCCTTCTCTACGATTTCATTTTGTTGATATTTCATATTGTTGTTGGAGGATTCGAGTCTCAAAGTTGCGCAAGTTTATCAAATTTACTATGTTCAGCTCTAAAATTAACGCATTGCACACAGAAAAGTTAATATCAAAAATAAACAAATGAAACTAAAAAATTTGAATTTTTTCCTTATTGAAGATTTTTTATCACGTGAATTTCCCAAATAAATGGAAATAGAATTTATTTATAAAAAAAAAAATACAACAACTAAGTTCATTTGTTTCAATTTTAATAAATAGACTATTGCATTGATCAAAGAAATGTGTAAAATATATACTTGTTATTTCCCACCTATAATATTTCATGGAAACACGTTTCATTTCTATTATTATTGCCGATTTTATTATTTATAGGAAATATTGGGAAATTTTTTCTCAAAATTGGCAGTGCAACACATAAAGTTGTGGGCTAGGTGACTTTTTAATATGAAAAATTCTTACGCAACATAAAAATTAATATCATTAAAAAACAAAGGCTTATTGAATGATAAAATAATAAATTTAATGAAATAATTGTAATAAAAGAATATAAAAGTAAAAAAGAATATAATTTAGATTAACAAAATTTAAAATAATAAATGAAGCTAGCTATAATAATAAGAGAATCAAAGAGCAAATATAAGATGTTTATTTACTGTTTAAAATAAATGAAATCAACAATTAATATTTTTTCAAAAAACAATGATATTCACTGTAGTAATAATATTGATGAAAATACTTACTTGATATTTATTATTAAAATAAAATGAAATCAACTGTAATATAATGACGATGAAAATACTTATATGCCATCTATTAGTTAAAATAAAATAAAATGAAATCAACAGTTAATATTTTTCAAAACAATGAATAATATTGACTGTAGCAATAATAATGTTAAAAATACTTACCAGCTATTTTATTATTTAAAATAAATGAAAATCAATAGTTAATATTTTTTAAAAATAATGACATTGACTGGAATGATAACAATGATGAAAATACTTACCAGCTATTTATTATTTAAATTAAAATGAAAATCAATGGTTAATATTTTTTTCCAGAAACAATATTGGCTGTAGTAATGAAAATACTTACTTGCTATTTATTATTTAAAATAAAATGAGTTAATATTTTTTTAAAAACAATGATATTGATATATGTAATGATGATGAAAATACTTACCAACTATTTATTATTTAAAATAAAATGAAATCAACAGTTAATATTTTTTTAAAAGCAATAATGATATTGGCTGTAGTGATAACAATGATAAAAACACTTACTCGCTATTTATTATTTAAAATAAAATAAAAATCAACAGTTAATATTTTTTCAAAAACAGTGATATTGACTGTAATATAATGATGTTGAAAATACTTACCAGCTATTTATTATTTAAAATAAAATGAAAATTAGCAGTTAATATTTTTCAAAAACAATATTGACTGTAATAATAATAAAATGATGAAAATACTTGCCCACTATGTATTTTTTTAAATAAAATAAAAATCAACAGTTAATATTTTTTCAGAAAACAATAATATTTGTAGTAATAATAATAATGATGATGAAAATACTTACGGACTATTTATTATTTAAAATAAAATGAAAATCAACAGTTAATATTTTTTTTAAATCAATGATGATATTAGACTGTAGTGATAATAATGAAAATACTTACAACCTATTTATTATTAAAATAAAATGAAAATTAACAGTTAATATTTTTTCAAAACTATTGATATTGGCTGTAGTAATAATAATAATGATGAAAATACTTACTGTCTATTTATTATTTAAAATAAAATGAAAATCAATAGTTAATAATATTTTTC